GATGTACAAATTTTTGTGCTTGGGTTTCAGTTATACAATGATCTATTACTCATCCCTCCACCAGTGCCCATTTTCTACCAACATGGATCTCAGTATCCCTCTCACCCTCCATTCCCCCCATCCCACCCTGCCACTGTGACAGGGCATTCCCTTTTGTTCTCTCTCTCTCCTTTTGAGTGCTGTGGTTTGCAAAAGAGGCATTGAGTCATGTTCGGTCTATAGTCTACTTTCAGCATGCTTCTCCCATCCTGGGGGGATCCTCCCAACACCCTTTATTTGGTGCTCTCTTCTCTATCTGAGCTGCCTTTTCCCCTAGTGTGTGCGGCTGGCCTCCAAGCCATGGAATAAACCTCCTGGTACTTATCTCTGCTGTTCTTGGGCCAACACCATTTATTGAAGGGCATTATTTCGTTCATTTTATGTTCTTGGTTCTTTTATCATGAATTAATTGCCTGTTTATTTGATGACTTATCTCTGGGTGCTCAAATCTATCTCAGTGGTCTGTCTGCTTTTACTTTTACAATAATTTTTTTTTATTATTTACTATAGCTTTATAGTATAGTTTAGAGTCAGGTAAATTATTGCCTCCCATCATTTCCCTCAGGACTGCTTTGGTTGTTTGAAGTTTTGGGTAAAGATTTATGTGATAATATCTTTTTTTTTCTTAATGCTTCCAGCTTTGATTCAGAGTTAGAAAAGCTATTCTGTTCCCAAATAATGGAAGAATTTATTCATTTTGATTTCATTTTATTACTTTTTTTTAGTATTTGCGTGCTTTAATTTTTACATGTAAATGCTCCAATCTGGAGTTTGTACTTGAGTGGTATCTGAAATGCGTTTGGTTTTATATTTATCTTAGCAACATTTATTGAAAAGCTAGTACAGCCACTGCCATGTTGATTCACTCAGTCAGCTGCCTCCATGTCATCTCACCCACTGGACCTGATCTACAGATTCCCAACTGAGTGTCCCAGAAGATGAAGCAGCTAAAATTGGTCGAATCACCAGTCCTGCAGCTGAAAACTCTGGGGTGCCCTTGGGAAGTAGGTGTGCTGAATAGCGACCTAGCTAAAGGTCCAGCGGCCATGCCAAGGGCTCAGCTTCACCACTTCCTGATTATTCTCTATAGAGATACGCTTTTCAGAGTCTAGGGTAGGTAGCCTCCCCAAAAACCTCTTACTTCCAGAAGTCCTATAAGCCACACCTACCTCCCATAGCCACCATCATATCCACTCATTTGCCCAACCATAGATCCTAAAGACTCTAGACAGCCTGACCATGACACCTCCTAATTCCTCAATGTAGCACTGTCCTGTAGCACTGTCATCCCATTGTTCATCAATTTGCTCGAGCAGGCACCAGTAATGTCTGCATTGTGAAACTTCTTGTTACTGTGTTTGGCATATCGAATACACCACAAGGAGCTTGCTAGGCTCTGCCCTGTGGGTGGGATACTCTCAGCAGTTTGCTGGGCTCTCCAAGAGGGACAGAAGAATCAAACCTGGGTCAGTTGCGTGCAAAAACAATTTTCACATAAATTGATTTTTTCATACTTATTGAGCCTCCAGTGTAGCACCGTTGGGAAGGACAAGTAAAGAGAGGCTGCTTAAATTTTAGGGCTCAGACAAATGGAGACGTTACTGGTGCCCGTTCGAGCAAATCGATGAACGATGGGATGACAGTGATACAGTGATACTGATTTTTAATAATAAAATGGAGCTTTGTTATCTAATAAATTTTAGTTCTAGAATTCTATCAACAGTTGTGGTTTTTTTATACATTAAAATAGCACTGTAGCACTGTCCTTCCATTGTTCATCGATTTGCTCAAGCGGGCACCAGTAACATCTCTATTGTGAGACTTGTTACTGTTTTTGGCATATCGAATATGCCATGGGGAGTTTGCCAGGCCCTGCCGAGCGGGCGGGATACTCTTGATAGCTTGCCAGGCTATCTGAGAGGGATAGAGGAATCGAACTCAGGTCAGCCGCATGCAAAGCAAAGGCCCTACTCTCTGTGCTATCACTCCAACCCAACATTAAATCTTAAAAAATGAAAAACTAGTCTTTGCATTCCCTGATGTGATATATTGCCTTTATTATATCTAGATATTTTTATTTGTAATTGTATTTATTTAAATATTTAAATATCAAATTACTTTAATTTTAGAAAATTTGGTATATAGTTTGTTGGGTTTGGGTTTTGGTTTTGGACCACTCCTGGTAATACTTAGGGGCTGCACCTGGCTCTGTACTCAGAAATTACTCGTGGTGGTACTCAGGGGACCATATGGGATGTCTGGAATTGAACCTGGGTCAGTCACATGGAAGGCAAATGCCCTATCCACTGAACTATCATTCTGACCCCAGAAATATATGTTTTAATATCTGGTAGGGCTAACAATATTTTCTACACTGACCTTGCCATGTTGGCTTTGTTTTATTTCCCAGAATTTTCCTGCTTATTTTTTTCATTTATTATGTATTAATTTGTCATTTCAAGTCAATTTGCATGTCAAATAACAGAGCCTTTTATTTGATTTCATAACAATTTCCCTCACTACATGAACATTTCAGATTAGAGCATTTTAAGTATTCTGTGAAAAAGGAATTTCCCTTCTAAATCAATGAAATGTTTAGAGCTGTCTTATTAAATTCAGAGACAGGATCCTAATAGGGTCACTTTCATTAGATTCACTCTGTTTAATGTGTGATCCAGGTTACTACACCCACTTGTTTCCTTTCTCCTATAATCAGTGAGGTCCTCAATTACCCAGCTGTCTATGGATATTTGGACAAATTTATCCTATTTTGTTACTTTTATTCTGTTTAGTCTTTTGACTGTCTAACTACACTTTTTAGAAATTTATCCTGGACGTAGTCATCTTTGATCTCTTAAGTTATTTCCTCAGGAACAATATACAGTTAATGTTTGGGTTAAAAAGAGACTTGAGATAATTTCTAGCACTGCAATATTGAATCTTTACATTGAACCACTGGTCTTGTTGGTTGGGAATCACGGGGTTTGGTTCCAGGCTTTTTTTTTTTTTTTTTGCTTTTTGGGTCACACCTGGCTCTGTACTCAGGAATTACTCCAGGCAGTGCTCAGGGGACCACATGGGATGCTGGGAATCGAACCTGTGTTGGCCGCTTGCAAGGCAAACGCCCTACCTGCTTTGCTATCGCTCCAGCCCCTGGTTCCAGGCTTTTAATGGAATATCATTACAGCTTTTCATCTGTCTACAATAGCAAAACTGACCCAAGAGACTCAACTGAAAACCCATCATTGGAACAGTGAGTTCAGTTAGATCATAAAAAATTATGAAAAGAAATCATGTACAATTAGTTTCAATTAAAGAATATAATGAAAACAATTTCATGAGCAAGAGTTCCTGGGAAATTACTCAACAAAACTGTAGAGTTTAAATTGAGAAAGAAAAATCTCTAGAATTACCTAAACAAAGGTTAATTTTGAATAAATACTTTACCATATGTAGTGCTTATATATAGTTTGGGTAGCTTTGTATTACTTAATGATCCCAAATATCTCAGATTTATGGGCTCAGTTGTTTCTTTGATAAGCAATTAAAATGTCTCTATTCCATGTATTTTGGACAGTTTTTTTTTCAAATGGGTATTGGTGGTACTGGACCTTACCCTGTGGTTCTCAAGGTATATTCTTGACTCTGTGCTCAGATGTGACCCCTGGCAGTACTCAGAGAGCCATATGTAGTACTGGGAATCCAACCAGGGTTCTTGATACAAGAACTTAATTCTTGAACTAGCTCCCTGGGCCATGACTAAATTATAATCTAATAGTTTCTCAAAGACTTCTAAACATTTCTGGAATTGCTTGAGGGGTTTAGGGATTTTGTTTATATGTGTGAGCCATACCAAGCTGTATTCAGGATTTACTCCTAGCTTGTGTTCAGGGATCACTTCTGGCAGGGCTCTGGGGATCATATGTTGTGTTGGAGCTCAAACCCAGTTGACTGTGCTGCAAGGCAAGTGCCTTACTTGTACTATCTCACTGGCCCAGCAGGGTTTATCTTAATCAATATAAACTATAACTATATCTATGCTCTCCTACTTGTTTATTTAGTATAATTGAGAACACACCATTTCCTAAGAAATCCAAAAATATTCACTAATGATTGCTTTTGGCTTCTGGGGCTCCATATGTTCCTGGTCACCCTTATATTAACATATAACTTCTTCTCTTTCATGGCTCAAAACCACTAATTTGAGGGCATTTATTTATTTTATTTTTTAAATTTTTATTAGTGAAACACCATGAGGTACAGTTGTAGGTTTACAAATTTTTGTACTTGGGTTTCAGTTATACAGTGATCAAGTACTCGTCCCTCCACCAGTGCCCATTCTCCACCACCAATGGTCCCAGTGTCCTTCCCACCCCTCAATCCCCCACATCCCACCCCGCCTCTTTGGCAGGGCATTTCCTTTTGTTCTCTCTCTCCTTTTGGGTGCTATAGTTTGCAAAAAAAGGTATTGAGTGGCAGTCATGTTCGGTTTATAGTCAACTTTCAGTATGCATCTCCCATCCTGGGCAGATCCTCCCAACACTCTTTACTTGGTGCTCCCTTCTCTCTCTGAGCTGCCCTTCCCCCCAGCATGTGCAGCTGGCCTCCAAGTCATGGAGCAAACCTCTTGGTACTTATCTCGACTATTCTTGTGTGTTATTCTCCTATTTTGTTACTTTATATTCCACAGATGAATGCAATCTTTCTATGTCTGTATGAGGGCATTTATTTTTATGAGACTTTCACTGAGGTTTTGAAGATTCAATTAGTTGGATAAGCATTACGGGAAAGGAAAGGCAAAGAACTATAAATATGAACAGCATAAAACAAGAAGTAATGAAAAATTAAATATTAAATACCTTGAAATTATAAATATATATAACAAAATTCATAAGAAAAAATTAGGTGATCTATTTTAAAAATTGGAAAAACACCTGAATTTTTTTCTCACAATTTTCTAGACAGAACCATGAATAAACTGGAGGACAAGCAGGACCAGATGATACCATGAAGAGAAGTTTACAGGTCCTCTATTGCCAACTGTTAAGTAAGTTGATACTACATGTATTCTTTCCTAGACTATAACAATATTATTGTTTGTCTAGTGCCAAAAAATTACCCATTTTTTGGAGAAAAACTAAGGTTTCATAAGGGAGGGAGGAAATTTCCCCTCTATTTAGGTTTTCAAAATATAAAACATTTACTTAGTCTATTATCTTAGGAACTGGTTATAATGTAAATTCTTTTTAACTTTTATTTTAGGCACTGTTATTTATTATAGTTATTCAAAATTGTCATATTAAACATCTGACTTAAGACTTAATATAAAAATATTGTCCTTGATATATATATGTGTGTGTGTGTGTGTGTGTGTGTATAGAGAGAGAGAGAATGTATTCCATATAACTGTTGATAGATTCCTCATGGGGAGGGAATGCAGGTTGTGTTATGTGTATTTTATGACATAGAACATGATTCCATTTGGTAGCTGTACAGCATTTGACTTTAATGTCTTGCATAGTTACACGTGATCTCAAATAATGGCGGTGAGAAAGTGATTTTCTCTGATTTGGTGGTTGAATAAAGAATTCAATTGTCATTTTCTATGAAATGCTCAATTATTTGGTGACAAACCACTAGTTGCTGAAGACTGTATGCTGAACAAATGTACAAACCAGTACAAGTTAGTGATCTTCATATTTAGATTGGTCTTTTGAGCACAGTAATCATTGCCCACTCTAGAGCAAGCCAAAGCTATTGAGTTGGGGAAACTTATAATCCACTGAGTTTACCTCATTCTGAGAAAAACAGAGAACCTGTCTTTCCTAGATTGAGTGACTTTTTGCAGAAAAAAATAATAATACAGAAAAATACTGAGATGAAAATCATTGTTTCTTTAAATTTAGCAATTGAAGTTCTGTTTCACTTCCAGAGTTAAAAAAAACTTAATCTCCTGACAGAAACCATGTTGGGTATTTTAATAGACTCATTTCTTCTACTAAATTCTAATTCCTAAAGCAGCATGCTTTTGGCCTGATTGGAATGTTCTTTTTCCCTGTGTTCTTTAAGACTGGACAAGAGAGTTACAATCATGTGGGAACACAATTATAACTAACATTTGCATGGAACTTTCTGGAACACAGAATTGTATCCTGACAACAGTGAATAGGATGTAATTATTATTGATCTTATTTTACAGAGAACACCATTGACATGACCAAGGCTGCCATTCCTAAGTCATATCACAGTTTTTAAAAATGTAATGATAAAAAGTAAAGAGCATGATTATGGACTTGCTGAATAATGAGACCAAAGATTTGGTCTTTTCCCAGGTGCTCTGCACTGAAATTTATTGTGTAACTGCATTATTAATTAAGAAGATTGACAAGAGAAAGGGAGATAGTTCAGAGGGCTGAAGTGCATGATTTGTATGCAAGAGGCCAGGGTTAGATTCCAACAATGTATGGTCTAAGCACCATCAGGAACAACACCTGAATACCAAGCCTTGAGTAGCCTCTGAGCATTGCTGGGTGTGGCCCCAGAACAATGCAAAAGAAAGACCAATAGTTCATCTGATTTTGTAAAAATACATTTTATACATTGTCTATTCAGTCAAAGTTGTTTGGTAACCTATTCAGAGGAATGGTTATGTATAGTAGACATGCATGTTTGCAAATATAAGCATTTGAGTTTCTTATATTGTGCTCTCTGTAAGGCCTTGTACGTTCTACTTGCTCATCTCTGCATCTTCTACATAAAATAAATTATGTTGATCACACAAAGAGTTACTTATCTCTTTACTCAACCCAACTCCCCATACGCTCCATCTTACTCAATAAGGAGAAGAGAAAGAATTTCTGGTTATGAACTTGAACCTTTAACTAGAATTTACATTTCCCATCCTCCTTTCCTGGGGCCATAGGCTTTGTGTCTCCATCTCAGACTAGAATCATATATACACACACCCCAAGTCAATATTCGTCATCTCTCTAGACTCATTCAGGCATAAAGAATTGGTTTAATGTGAAATTCACTTCTGAGGGGATGATTTACCACCAATCTGATCTCTAAAACTGAGCAGAAGCCCAGAAGTTATGTTCAATGAGAACAAAGTGTCTTGGGCACCTGTTCAGCTCTCACTAGCCCTTTTTTGAGCCTAGAGACTCAGAGTTCCCAGTCACTTCTTAAATAAAAAACATACACATAGTAGTTTCTTCTACAAGGGATTAACATTCCCTCCCCACACAGTTTTTTTTTCCTGAATGCTTTTCCTTGTCCTATAGTAGTCTCAAAGTTCCTAGCATATTCCCGATCCAGGCCAGTTTTCTATTGTGGTCTATGATCTAAAGTTCTCTTATGTTCTGTTAAGATGGGCAGTAATTTGGGACCTGGAGATGTTACTTAGTGGTAGAGCACTTTCATTACATGCCTGTAGCCCAGAGTTTGATCTCCCATGTGCATATTGCAGAGTGCAATCTATATTGCCACAACAAGTTTGACACCACAGACCCACCCACAAACTACACATGCAACAGCAATCCCAACAAAAACAACCTTGAAATGGAAAGTAATTTGACTAAATTAGTTAGTATGTGCTTCATTTGCTAAAAAAGATAAGGGAATTCTCCATAATTCTCAGAGATATTATATTTTTAAAAGATTGACTTTATCTTCTTAATGCATTTAATATACAATTTTAGTACAATTTTATTTTATTTTATTTTAAATTGCGATAGCACAGCGGTAGGGCGTTTGCCATGCACGCAGCCAACATGGCCAACCCGAGTTCGATTCCTCTGCCCCTCTCGGAGAGCCCGGCAAGCTACCGAGAGTATCTCGCCCACACGGCAGAGCCTGGCAAGCCACCCATGATGTATTCGATATGCCAGACACAGTAACAACAAAATCTCCAATGGAGACGTTACTGGGCCCGCTCGAGCAAATCGATGAACAATGGGAGGGCCTTTAAAAAATTTTTTTTTATTAGTGAAACACCATGAAGTACAGTTGTAGTCTTACAAATTTTTGTGCTTGGGTTTCAGTTATACAATGATCCCATACCCATCCCTCCACCAGTGCCCATTCTCCATCATTTACATTTTTTTAAAAATTTTTTGTTAGTGAAACACCATGAGGTACAGCTGTAGATTTACAAATTTTTGTGCTTGGGTTTCAATCGTACAATGATCAAACACCCATCCCTCCACCAGTGCCCATTTTCCACCACCACGGGTCCCAGTATCCCTCCCACTCCCCTACAATTTTAGTACAATTTTAAATAATATTCAAAATAGCAACTTAAACAGGTAAGCTTTCCAGAAACCTATCCATTTGTCTAAATTACCCAAGTCATTTCTCTGGAATCTTTTATTCCTTCAACTTCCCTTCCTTTCATTTCTGGTAACCACTCTATTTTTTACTGAGTCTAGAAATTAGTTTTGTTGTTTACTGTCAGTTCATTTGCTTTAATTGTTTAAAACAAATGGGTAGGACCATTCAATAATTATCTTTCACTTCCTGGCTTAATTCTCAAAGGGCTTGGTTTTGTCTTTTTAATAGTAGTCTTCTATTGAGTATATATACTATGGCTTCTTCATCTGGTAGAATTTAGGTTGACATCTTATTATCTCATTCTTACTTTGGACAACCTAGCAGATTACCGAATGTAACCTGCCCACATGGCAGAGTCGGCAGACTCCCCGTGGCGTACCCAATATGCCAAATACCAGTAACAATGATGGGTCTCATTCTCCTAACCCTGAAAGAGCCTTGAATATGGCACTTTTTAGAATCTCAGGGCTAGGATGAAGGAGACGTTACTGGTGCCTGCTTGAGGCAATCAATGAACAACAGGATGATCATGATCGTGATCTAGAAATTAGTTTTGTTGTTTACTGTCAGTTTATTTGCTTTAATTGTTTAAAACAAATGGATAGGGCCATTCAATAATTGTCTTTCACTTCCTTGCTTAATTCTCAAAGGGCTCAGTTTTGTCTTTTTAATAGTAGTCTTCTATTGAGTATATATACCATGGTTCTTCATCTGATAGAATTTAGGTTGATTACATGTGTTGGATATTGTGTAGCTGCTGTGAACTGAGGTACAAATATCCTTTTGAATAAGTGTTTGTTTTCATATCCTTCAGATAAAGGACTGGGGTTGGTACTGCTAGATCACATGAAAATTCCATTTTTAATTTTAAGGTCTTTCCAAACTCTTTTCCTATAAAGGCTGCACTAACATCATCTGCAATAGTGTATGAGGGTTCCTTTTTCTTCATATCCTTTCCAATACTTTATATTTACGGTTTTTAAATTTAGACCATCCTCACGAATGTATACGTATTGTGGCACTGAATAGTTGTTCATTTGTCTTGGCCAACTTTAAGAGAAGTGTCTGCTCAGGTATTTGCTCATTTTTTGATTAGGTTGTTTGCTTTAATGTTTTTAAATATTAATCCTTTATTTCATTTTTTTGATATTTTATTTTTGATCTCCCAAATGATAGGTTGCCATTTTGGTGGCAGATTCTTTTTTACATGTATGAACTTTTTAATTTAATATAATCTCATTTATATATTCTTGCTTTTTTGTTTCCCTTGCCATTAGACTTGAGTCTCCTAATCTTCTTTGTATTCTATGATTTCAAGTATAGCATATTTAATTTATTTTGAATTAGTGACAGCCCAGGCACCCTGATCTCTCTATAGTTTCCTAAGGGAAATTTCTTTGTTCCATGGACCCTACATGGGGTAAGAGATGGGAATATATATGGGTTTGCTAAGATTAATTCTAATAGATAATTTAGTGGTAGAATTCATGGCTATGTTGGGTATCCATGTAGTTATAATTGACCCTAATAATTCTGTATTGTCTCCATATTTTAAGACATAATTTATAGTTTAAACATGAATTTATAGTCTTTTCTTTCTCAGTGTTTCATTAAAAAACAGTATATCTTACAATTAATGACTTCTAAGATTTGACGAAATATGATTATTGTAGCTATGAGCTATACTTTACTAACACTATTGTGTCAAATCTAAAT